GTGCCATTTGAAGAAAAAAAAGTCAAGGGTTGTAAATAGGGGATGATTTTGTCAGGGGCAGATTTTTTTATATTTTTGAAGAGAGCTTAACTGACCATTAGTTTTTATTTCAGATTTTTATTTCTAAAAATAAGAAAGTTATGGCTTGTAATGCTGATTGTGGGACACCCTGTATACAGGGTGTTCCATTTAAAAAAATTATTTGGTTTATTATAATTTTGCGATTTAAATTTGTTTGTTTTAGAAGCGCCAAAATATACTACCGATAAAACCTAAGGATAAAACCGTACAACTTTCATGTTTAAACTTTTTTTCCACCTCGCATAGCTAAAGCCTCGGCTAAAGCGGTGGTTGTCAAAATATGAGGAAACATTCTGTACAAAATAAGGAGCTTCTACAGCAGAATAAAGTTTTTGAAGAGCGAATACCGATGCTTGAATACAGGGTGAATATCATGGAACAGAACGAAAAAAGTAACAACATACTGGTGACTGGTATTCCTATACAAAACAATCAATCCATGGATGAGGTGGTGAGCAATCTATTCAAGGGTATGGGAATGAAATTAAACCAGGGTGATATCAGGGACTGCTATAGACTGAAGACGACCAATGAAAATAAGCCCATTTTAATAAAATGTGGGTCACCAGTGATAAGAAATCAAATATTTAAGCAAAGGAAAGTAATAAAAAAGATATTTACCAAGGACTGTAATTTTCAGGGGCCGAACAAACAGATATTTTTAAATGAAGAGTTGACAAAGTACAATCAACAGCTCTTCAAAGAAGTGAGAAACTTCAAGAAGGAACACAATTTCAAAAGTGCCTACTGCTTGCATGGAAAAATATATTTAAAAAAGAGTCCTGAAAATGAGCCTATAAAAATTCTTACCATCGAGTGTCTAAGGAAAGTAAAATAATATTATTTCCCATATCTGCCTACTTACAAGAGAAAAAAAAAAAAAAAAAAAGATGTAAATATAGTTAGTTCCAGAGTTTGATTTTAATTTGAGAATTCTGTATGTCAATTTGAGAAGTTTTCGAAATAAATTAGAGGATATTGAAGTTTTAGTAAAAAATCATGAGGAGCCTGAAGTCTTGGTGTTCACTGAAAATTGGATTTATCAGGAAGAGGTACAGTTCTATCATCTACAAGGTTATGAAATGGAACACTGCTGTAGACCTACACGAGGGGGTGGAACATCTATATATATTAAAAGTCACCTGATTTATGATGTAGAGTTAAATAAATCCATTAACAATTGTGATTGGCTGTCAGTGAAAATAAATAAGCCATATGTAAAAATTGTGGGAGTCTATAGACCTGGCTCTGTTGATGCAAGATTATTTATAAACGACATGGATAACATTATGCAAGACTCACCAGGGGAAACTTTTGTGATTGGAGATATGAACTTGGACTTGTTTCAACAGAATACTATTAAAAATGAATATGAAACTACTATTATCGGAAATGGATTTCAGATTATAAATAGAAATGAACCTACTAGAGTAGCAAACAACACACAAACAATCATTGATCATGCCCTAAGTAACATTAACTCTTCTGAAATTAAAATACAATTTTTTGACATGGATATGATAGATCATAAAATCCAACTTATTGAAATAAAAAAGAAAAAAATTGAAAAACACCCTAAAACTACTCTTACAATGAAAATCCTGAATAAAGTAATGTTCGAAAGTAAAGTTGTAGAAAAATTAGAAACCAGTGAGATAGACGACTTTAAACAACTTATTCAAGTTATACAAGAGGCTAAGCAGGAATCAACGTCAGAAAAAACAACCAAAAACCACTACAAAACTTGGATTACAAAAGATTTCTTGACTTTAGTTCAGCTTAGAGACAAATCATACATAAGACACAAAAAAAATCCAGGAAACAATAATCTTAAAGAGGAATTTAGAAGGCTTAAAAATAGATGCAACACCCTAGGAAGCAAGCTAAAAAACAAGTTCATTACTGGCAGATTTCAGAGTGCAAATGGAAATGCAAGAAAAACCTGGCAAGCCATAAATCAATTGATTGAAAATCGGTATGCTGATAATACTAAACCAAAATGCATAGCTTGTATAAACTATAATAACAAAAAAATTGAAGATTCCCAAGAAATAGCAGAGGCCCTTAACACTTACTTTATAGAAATAGGAAATAAAATTGGGGAAGAAGTTGAGCAGGAAAAAAATCATGTACAGAATGACAAATTCTTTCCAGAAGAAGTAGAAGGAAAAACCATATTTCTACATCCTTGTACGCAAGAGGAAATCAGTAACATCATAGATGCACTGAAAAGAAACTGTGCTCCAGGGGCAGATGAAATCACAACTTTAGATCTACAGGCCTTAAAAAAATATTTGTTACCTATACTAGTGAAATTAATAAATGAAATCTTAACCAGTGGTGTCTTTCCGGAATGTCTTAAGGTCACAAAGGTTATCCCAATTCATAAGGCGGGTGTGCAGTCTGATCCAGGAAATAAAAGACCAATCGCTCTCATATCCACTTTCTCAAAGATTGTTGAAAAGGTAATCAAGAAGCGAATAGTGGACTTTGTAGAAAATACTTTTAAATTTGATGTCCAACAATATGGCTTCCAGAAGTCCAGCAATACACATATAGCTGCTGTGGACCTGATTGACTATATATCACAAGCACTAGATGAAAATAACTTTGCACTTGCAGTTTTTATTGACCTCCAGAAGGCCTTTGACACCGTCAATCACCAAATACTATTAAATAAACTATCTAACATGGGAGTTCGAGGAGTTGCTCACAGTCTAATTAGGTCATACTTGTCAAATAGATATCAATATACCATGGTAAATGAAAAAACCAGCTCCACAAAATTGTCCACCATTGGAGTTCCACAAGGTTCGGTTCTGGGGCCCTTACTTTATCTGCTTTATGTGCACAGTTTAAGCAAAGCCAATTTAAAATGCAACTACATAACTTTCGCAGATGACACAGTGTTGCTTTTTCAAGGCAAATGTTTGAAGAGGATTGAAACTGAAGTAAACAATTGTGTCGAAACTTATTATATGTGGCTACTTAAAAACAATCTTAAAATAAATGTCAAAATAGCTATTTATACAATAAGTTACGAAATGAGCGTCTTTTAGGCACGCGACGTGAAAATTGTCCAACGAGGCAAAGCCGAGTTGGACAACACGTCGAGTGACTAAAAGACACCGTTTCGTAACGTATTGTATACAAGATTTTTTCTACTGGCATTTTATAATAAAAAACACAATTTTATTTCATGTGAATAAGTCGATTACACCCAAAATCTTTGTTACCTGCTTTTACTTGACACCTGACACTTTTCATGCGATTTTCTTTTCAAAATTCGACATCAATAATTGAAATCCTAGAAAGTAGGTAATAACACAAAGTTCTGTTTTGAGTAACCCAAACGTTCAATTCAGTAATTCAATTTTCAATATTCATAATAAATACAAAACAAAATTCAAATATGTGTTTAGTGTGTTTTTTATTTCTGAATAATGAATGACACTTTTAGGCACTAGTGCTTAAAAATTACTTTTACGCACTCATAAGTCACTTTTACGCACTGAGTGCCTAAAAGTAACTTTCACGCACTCAGTGCCTAAAAGAATGTTGTTTCAAAACTGAAATGACAATCGAAAAGTTGCTATTATGAAACGTCAGTAGAAAAAGACTGTTTATATGATTTTCAGACAAAAAAACAAAATGGGCCCAAATATTGAAATTAAACTGAATAAAATCATCTTAGAAAAGGTGCAAGCTTATAAGTACTTGGGTCTAACAGTGGACGAGGATCTGTCATTCAAATTTCACATCGAAAAACTACAGAAAAAACTTTCCAGTGCTTGTGGTGCAATGAGAAAATGTGCAAATTTTCTTCCTAACCCTATCAAACTCTCCGTGTATGAATCCCTATTCAAATCACATGTGCAATATATGAGTACCTACCTTATGGGCAGCTGCTTCAAACACAATAATCCAAAAACTACAAAGACTTCAAAACCGTGTTATGAAGTGTCTCTATAGCCTTCTAAGACTTTACCATACCAGTGAGCTATACAAAAATTATAAATTCCTAAAAATAGAGCAGATAATTAAGCTGGAAGAATGTAAACTAATGGAGAAAATTCTAAATGGACAAATAAAATCTAAAATAGTGCTCAAGAAAAACTGCGACCTGCATAACCATCTAACTAGAAACTGTGACCAAATGTATATTCCAAGATCCAGGACAGATGTAGGGAAGAATACTATAATTCGTCGTGCTTTGGGCTCCTACAATTCCTTACCAACGGAAATTTCAAGAATATCCAGCCCTGCTTTATTTGCAAAAAAGGTTAAATTATTCTTAATGTCACAAAATGTATAGAACCAATTAATTGGGTACCTAAATTCAATTTGCTTATTGTTTGGTTTTTTGTTTGTTTTTTTTTTTTATATGGAGAGATCAGGCGCAATTTTATGGTTTGTGGACCTCTTTGGTTTATGTTATTGTTATTATAATTATTATTTTTTTTATATATATATATATATAAAAGGTGAATACCTGCTTGTTTTTTCTTTTTGGAAATTTGTTTAGTCAAATATTTAGTTAGGTATAGCTTATATAATTTGAATTATTTATGTTTGGGCAAGAATATTATAATTATTACTTATTGCACCGACTGAAACCTACAACTGTGAATTAAATTATGCTTTTGGCATACCAGTATGCCAATGTACTGTTTAAAGTTCAAAAATAAAGACTTGTTAAAAAAAAAAAAAAAAAACATATTTTAAGGAGTTAACAAGTCCTCGTTCTACCCCCGATTCTATCCATCATTGCCACTATTGTTTTTAATCCAATAAAACCTCGAATAAAACACAGAATATAGCCTTTAATACGTTATAACCAGCATTATAACTTTGTTGAATCAAAATTCTTTAACGACTCAACCTTTCTAGTAGTAGAATTTTGCGTGATTGGTACTTACATTAGCAAAAGGGGGTACACCAAGTTGGATGTTGCTTTCGAAGTTTCTGCAAAACTGGGAAATATCTTGGCTCAAACTGTTCTCACTGCGGAAAGAACCCGCATTCTCCATGCCGCACATTTCCAGTAAACTCATTTTAACTGAAATCTGGATACTTTCTTATAAAATAGTGAAAATTTTAGGAAAATGCAAAGAGGCCAGCTAGAAAGAATGATATACAAAAACTTGAATGAGGTTAGGTTGGGAATGGTTGAAAATTGCAAATCATCTCTTCTTTTTTTTTATTGAGAATTGTGGCATTTGCCATATAAGTGTCAAAGTCAATGCCAAATGACGAGACAGATGTTCCATGTTTTGTTTCCAAAAAATGCCAATGGTGAAGTTTGTGGTTTCCCACCTTTTACATACCTACGTCTCCCACAAATTAAATAATTTTCTTTCAAGTTTTAAGTAAAAATTAAAAGAATCAAAGTAAATACTTCAGAAAACATCCAAAGTTCCTATTAGAAAAATTTCAACAAATAATTTCAATAAATATATACATGAAAGACTAGTAAAACAGGATGCATCACATCAAAGTAATAAGGTGTAGAACTACCAAAAATTAAAGTGTTTGTGTTTAGAGGAAAAGGTACCCTAATTTGGAAGTTTTGGATTTGTAGTATGGAAATAGAGTTCGGTAAGCATTTTAGAGATGCTACAAATTTATTATTGAGCATGGATTATGATAGTGGTTATGTAGAAGCAGGCGAGAGTAGCAGCTGCACTTCTTCGAATCCCGAATCTGTTTCGAGCGCAAAAATGAGTGTTCCCAAAGTATCGCAAAACTTTTTATTTAACGAAGATGCTTTACTAGAAAAACCCGAAATTGCATTGAATTGGAGCACTAATTTACCATATGAAATTGACCTTGAAGAGTATGAAGAAAGCAGACAGCTATTTTTCTCTTTTTCTCCAGGTTTCATAAATGCCTCAGTTAAAAGCGATGATTCAAGTTTACCCTATAGTGGTCTCGAAAGCGAAACTAGCTCAAATGTATCAACTGATTTACCTATTCAAAAACCTATTAAAGTTCTAAATAAAGCTGATATTCAGGAAAATGAAATTATGGCTGATGATGTCCTGATAATTTCAGCCTCAGAAAATGATATGTCTTTAGAAGTATCTGAGCTAGTATCTGAGGAAGAATTGGGTCAAAATCATCAGGGCTGTAATAATCTTATAACTGGCAATACTGGAGAAAGTGCAATTGAAACTAAATCTTCTAATAATTCATATACAAATGAGGATTCAAGTCCACAAAATACTGAAGATGAGGTATCTCCAATAGGAACTGATAGTGTATCAGATGTTTCTTTTGTTGAAACTGAAAAGGATATTACGTGTAATAGCTCAAAACAAGCAACACCTGACCTTGATGGTTCGTTTTCAGTTAAATCAACAGGCATTTGGAGTGTTCAAAAGACCCCTAAGAAATTATCTCCATCAAAAAGTAATCCCATTGACTCAGCAACCAATATCTTAGAAAAACCCAAAGAAAAACGAAGATTAACTTTGGTGTTTTGCAAATCTGAGAAAGAAAATGTATATTCTGTTAAAAGAAAATATCCCAGTCTCACGCCTACTAAAAGGACACCTGAAAAAACATATTCTAGTGAACAGGCATATTCCTATATAACTCCTGAAAAAAATTCTACTGCACTAACAGATTCTTGTAGCAGACCGAAAAAAAGTTCCAAAAAAAATGTTAATTCTTGTAAACATAATTTGTCCAGCACCACACCTGAAAAAACATGTTCTCTTGATGAGAAGACTGAACATATGTATCCAAACATAACACCCAAAAAAAACAAACTTGAACTGGCAGATAATGTTTATTCTACTGAAAAGAATTTGCACAACATGACTTCTGAGAAGGCGTGTTCTAGTGCAATTTTCAATAAAAAGACTTCAGCTTCAGAACTGGTAAATCCTTGTATGACTCCTGAAAAGAAGACTCCTGAGCTAGCAGATCCAAGGGAAAATGTTAAGGAGAATGTTTATTCTTTTGACAATAAAGTGTCCAGCATTACTCCTCAGAAGAAGACTCCCAAACTAGCAGATCATTATGTCAGTCCAATGAAAGATGTGAATAAAAATATTGATTTTAAACAGAAATTACCCACAATAACACCTGAAAAGAAAATTCAGAAAGTTGCTGGTCCTACTAACAGTCCAAAAGGTTATAATGCATATGTTATTGAAGCAATTAAGACTCCTGCAAAATCCCCACTTGAACTAGCAGATCCAAGAGAGAATGTCAAGAAAAATGTTTTCAAAGAAAAATTGTTCAACTTGACTCCAGAGAAAAAGACTCCTCAACAGGAAGAGGATGCAATTTCTAACATAGCAGATCCTTATGTCAGAACAAAACAGAATTTCAAAAGCAAATTTCTGAGCATGACTCCTGAAAAGACATTACAAAAACTAGCAGTCAATAACACTCGAAAAAAAATTAATGGAAATTTTGTTGAAGAGAACAACACTCCTGAAAAGCAGCCTTGTAAACCTGTAGATCAATATTTCAGTCCTGATCTGTTTGATGATGATGACATTGTTGATGAATCTATGTCAAGTTATTCTAAATTACCAACTCAAAAAAATATTCTATTATTACCAAAAAAACCACAAAACACTGAAGAAAAATACACTACCAAACTCGATCAAAAATTACTGAAAAGGACACAAAAAGGCATGAGCGGAGTTTTACCGCCTCCCAGTATAACTATTATGCACCTATCAGTTGGAGATATTTTATCCAAATGGGAAGAAAATAAGAGTTATTGCTTCTGGGCTAAATCGGAAAAAAGTGACTTAGAAGAACAGGACAAATCTCTCAATTCCAGTACTTCAACTAATTCCTATAGCAAGTCGCTATTGCTGAGTGTTGATGTGGAAGAAGCTAAACAAGCGGAATGGCCAAACATTTATGATATGAGATGTCATGGACTTAGGTAAGTATTTTTTTCTACGAGAGTGCGGAAAAGTGCACTTTTCCGCACGCATTTTAGTTTGGAAAGTTTCACTTTTCCGCACTAGTGTGGAAAAAAGTTTTTTCCGCACTCAAAATTAAAATACAGAGTGGTAGAAAAGTAGTGCATCACACCTGTAGGTAACTTTTTAGGACATTTTCTCATAAAGTTAATATAAAAGTTACAGGTATTATGGGCTAGGTTTTTGCCACTCTGGTAAATTGAAAGGAGGTCTCATAGTAATAATGTATTTTCATGGGACAAGTTGGAATTTTGTTTAGCTGAAATCAGGTGGAAAAAAAAACTTCTCTTTCTTTACACAAAACTACAATGTTTTTTTTCTGCCCAAACGCTCCATTTTCATTTCAATCATTTCTCTTGTCGGTTATGATATTTATTAATTGTAACAACAGAAAACAAATCAGAATTATCTAGAAAAAGATTTAATGCCATGTAAATTTTTTGGTTAGGATCAAGAATTCTTATCTCTTATCCTAAGTATTAGATGTATTCATTTTTGAGTGTCTCATTTGAAAATAATTAACGAGTCATTACAAAGGGAAAGTATTATCTCTATTATTAAAAGATACTTAGATAATTACTGGCAGTCATTCTGATTTCAATATTTATTTCAGCTATAACTGTGGCAAAGTCTCAGAAGAAATTGTAGATCTTTGTGACAAATACCAAAAACGATTTGTCGGAGCTGAGACTCAATCTACGTGCACGATATTCGAAAAACAGAATATCTCGAGCCCTTCAAATAGGAAAACGACGAAGCCTAGATTTGGTGCTAAGTCTCCTGGAAGAAGACTGAGTCATTTGGCATTGAGAAGGAAAATAACATTTTCTCATGCTAATTCACAAGCCAACAGCTCTTCTCTAGTTGGCTCTAGGGCGAGGCAAATCCTAGTAGATGTCAAGTAAGTATTGTTGTTGTAATGTATTACTTGATCGTTATTTATGTTGAATACTTAATACATCATTTGTTGAATGCCAGCATGGATTGCTCCCAAAAAAACCAACTGTCCCTAATTTATGGGGGGGGGGGGGTTAAATCTGGGACCACTGTTATTTGTTACATCTATTTTTGTCTTGGCCTAGAAAATTCTAACGCACTGTTGTATGCTGATGATCTTATAGTGTTTTTAAATGTGACTAGTAAGCATGAATGTGAGTTGTTACTGCAGAGAGATTTGAGTAGGGTTGTTGACTGGTGTAGGTACAACAGTTTCAGTTTTAATGTGAATAAATGTACAAAAATGACTTTTACACTCAAAAAGAATCCAACGTTGTTTCAATACAGAATTAATGACTCCAGTGTCAGTGGTGAAACAATGGGATGGGATTCATCATCAGAATTGCCAAGGCTTTTGATATGGAGGTCTGGTTTTCCTCAAACAAACTCTTATAAGGCGTCTTCTTTGTATAGTATGTGTAACCTTTTTAGTATTTTTGCAAGCGACCTGGACTTGGCGATAGCAAGCTAAAATCTAACCATGTTTTTATGTATGTTATTGCTACTTCTGCTTTCTCAATAGTTGATTGCCATGTATTGCTACTTACTATAATTACACCATCATCTGCAGAACAGAAAACACCCCCTCCGCTCAATACAGAAAAGATACCATTAATGCTAGATAACACAGGCCCCAGCACAGTTCCCTGCGGCACACCAACTCCCATCCCTACAGAATCCCTTTTTACATTTGCAATTCTTACTTTCTGAGTTCCATTAGTTAAGTCTGTCTCAAATAAATTATAAGCTAAGCCTCTTATACCCATATCATGTAATCTGTTTAACAAAATTTCTTGCGCCACAGTGTCAAATGCTTTTACCAAGTCCACCTGGAATATGGCAATAACCCTTTCCCTGTTATCTAAACCCTTTATAATCTGTTGTCACTTTGCACAATGCATTCTCTGTAGTGATATCATTTTTAAAAGCAAACTGGTTTTGTGATAATAAATTATGTTTATTTAAAATATCATTAATTTATATTTAATGCATTTTTGTATGACTTTACTAACAGTGTTGTTAATGCAATTGGTCTATAGTTAGTTGTCATTTTCCTATCACTCCCTTTATAGAGAGGAGTGATTTGGGCTTCTTTAAAAACATTTGGATAGACTTCTGAACTAAAAATTACATTTATAATGTGCTTTAAAGGTTGCAATAAATATTCAATAGTAATATAACTAGTGCAATGGAAATTATTTATAATTTTTGGGAAATTTGCTCAAATGCATTTTTAGTTGAAAAAGAGCACGAGTGCACATAGTGCACGAGTGCCTTTTTCAGTTAAAAACACATGAGTGCAAATTTGTCGAAAATTATAAATATAATTCCATTGCACGAGTTGTATTTAATGAGAGAATTTCATAAATCAAAAATTTAAATTTTTTGTCAAAAAATGTCAAAACACCAGTTTTTGCACCATTTAGTATGCAATTATCTGATAATTTGCACTAGTGCAAATTATCGCGTAATTACAATCTGATTGGTTCAAATCAACAATCAAAACATGTCAATTTATTGTTGGAATACCAGTTTTGACAGATGTATGAAATTCTCAAAATTATTTATTAATTATTTTATTATTATTATTGGAAACAATGGAAACTAATCCCCCAGTCTTTTTAAAATAAAGCACTCTTTTCTGTCTACAGGACTTTTTTATGCCACTCGTGATACAGTGCTTCTTTTTTTTTGAATAACGAATATTTTCATAAAGAGGTTAAGAATCAAATTTAGAAACAGAGAGTAGGCCTCATTCACAGACTCTGAGTTATACAGTGTGTCCCACGGTGGATGGCGTATTAGACGTTTATGGAGAACTAAAAAGCGGATCATTTTGAAAATTTGGCAACCGGTATAAACGACCATAATCTACACTTTAAAAATATTTTTGTTTATGCGGTGTTGCCGCTTCTACTCTAAACTAGTGGCAACATCGCTATTTTAAATGGAACACCCTGTATCTGATTACATATTTGGATTTTACGTAAAATTCTGAGCAGATTTCATGTGATATACCCTATACCTAAGTTCAACTGTTTTGGAATTATTGACAGTTGAAAATCGACTTTTTGCAACTTTGACAGGCTGTAAAACCTGAACGGTTAATTTTAGAGAAAAACCGATTTTACATTCCTATCTTAGATTTTTATAAACTATCATTTGATACCAACTTCAAATTTAATCCATGATTAAAAATTCCAATTAAATTTAATCTCCGGGTAAATTCAAAGTTGGTGTCAAATGATAGTTCATGAAAATGTAAGACAGGAATGTGAAATTGGTTTTTCTCTTAAATCAACCGTTCAGGTTTTACAGCCTGTCAAAGTTGCAAAAAGTCAATTTTCAACTGTCAATAATTCCAAAACAGTTGAACTTAGGTATAGGGTATATCACATGAAATCTGCTCAGAATTTTACGTAGAATTAAAATATGTAATCACATACAGGATATTCCATTTAAAATAGCGTTGTTGCCACTGGTTTAGAGTAGAAGCGGCAACACCGCATAAACAAAAATATTTTTAAAGTGTAGATCATGGCTGTTTACCGCGGTTGCCAAATTTTCAAAATGATCCGCTTTTTAGTTCTCCATAAACGTCTAATACGCCATCCACCGTGGGACACCCTGTATACCAGCGACCAATCAATTGCCATCATCTCCAACCTGAAAGATAAAAGTTTATTCCTTTTAAAGGCTCTCTTAAATGTATATTTTACTTTGTCTTTGTCTGTACCTAATCCTTTAACATTAATTATCTGCGAATGATGATCAGAGAGTGCTGAGTTTAGAACATAACTTGAAAAACCCTCTACGAAATGACAATAAATAATATCTAACAAAGTTGACGAGTTCAGACATTCCCGGGTAGGTCTAAAGATACATTGACTAAAATTATATGCATTAAATAAATCTAATAACTGTTTAACTCGGTGATTTTCCTAATCTAGGAAATTCACATTAAAATCACCTGCAATAACAATCTTATAGCCTGAAAAATCACAATAAATTACATCTAGTACCTTCTCAAGATTTTTTGACTGTTTTCAGCTATTGCATAGAACTCAATACTTAATACTCTTGGCAGACATTCCTGAAACTTCCTTTAAGCCTACTTCACTACAGCCTACACCTACAGTATACAGGGTGGCAAATTAAAAAGGATCCACCTGCATTTTCTCGAAAATTAACAGGAAATTGAAAAAACGCCGAAACACGTCGATTTTTTTTGCAAGGGGGACACTTTTTGGCTATTTCAAAATTTTCCTAGATTGCACCCCCTTACCGGGGTGAGTTGCACCCTCAAAAGTTGAATAGGAAAACTGGGTCGAGTGGTACCTTTTTTGAGAGGTATTTGAGATGACTTTACAGATCTGTAATTTTTTTCGAAATCTGACTTCTAGTTTTCAATATATTCGCCTCGAAAGTTGCCATGGGGCGAAAAGAGAACGTGTTTTTGGTGAAAAAATCAAAAGTGGGTCATGTTTGAAAGGTTGTTCAAAAGGTTCAAACTAACAAAGAAACAAAGGTTCAAAATAAACAAAATTGACGTGTTTCAGAAATTTCAATTTTTTCTTGTAGAAATGTACGAAAAACACGTTTTCTTTTCGCCCCATGGCAACTTCCGAGGCGAATATCTTAAAAACTAGTAGTCAGAGTTCGAAATAAATTACAGATCTGTAAAGTCATCTCAAATACCTCTCAAACAAGGTACCACTCGACCCAGTTTCCCTATTCAACTTTTGAGGGTGCAACTCACCCCGGTAAGGGGGTGCAATCTAGGAAAATTTTGAAATAGTCAAAAAGTGTCCCCCTTGCAAACAAAACCGACGTGTTTCGGCGTTTTTCTAATTTCCTGATAATTTTCAAGAAAATCCAGGTGGATCCTTTTTAATTTTCCACCCTGTATACATACACCACTGTGTCCGCCACTGGATATTTCAATATAAATCGATATTCCAAGATGGGAGGATAAAATGACGTAAGCCCTGGCCAATAGCGAGATGTTAGGTGACGTTAGCTCATTGACAACCGTATCGTTCCCCATGGAACGGCGATCCTGCCAAAAACTCCATCAATCAGGTCCATCCAGGCCGGATGCTTGCCAAATTGTCAAAAGCTGATGGTATCTTTAGAAAATGTTTATTTTTTACAATAAACCAAATTGAAGAAATCAGGATTAAAACAAGAATAGATCCAACAGCCACGTTAAAATATTTAGCGTTTTATCATTGTTATCAATATTTTGTTATTAAAAAATGGATTTTCAAATGAATACCTCAGGCCAAGTATTTTCGTTTTTTTGTAATTAAACGTGACAACATGGCACATTTACGTCCGAATTCCTTCCGTAGACTCAGATCCGCTGGGCAAACAATATATTCCTCAATTTTAACAAATTGGGCACAATCCTGTGCCAGCCAGTGTTCGCTAAATAACAGCAGTCCAGGCTTCTGGCATATTCCATCCAGAAAGCACTCCATATCCAATATTTTGTTTCTCAGAGACTGTATATTTTGGTGCCATATTGTCAAGACACAATCTGAAGCAGATTTGTTTACTGGCAGGTCTTGGGGTTGCTATTTTTCTAGAACACTGTACTGAATTTTTGAATTTTCTTTTTCTTGAAGCTACAGTAATGTAGAGCAATTTGAGTTATACAAGTTATGTTTATTATCTAGATTCAGTTTATATTTTTATTACACAATATGCAGTTTATACCGAGGTTTATACACTCAGGGCTAGTTGAATCACATTCCGTCTAATCGTGCTCAGAGCTATTACAGTTTCCAGTTTCCATAATGTTTTTGCTCTTTGCATTCGTTTGATGTATGATTATACTTATTACAACGATTGTAGCATCGAGTTGTATATATTCATAATACCTGCAAGCTTTACAGTCAA